GATTTGTAAAAGAATTCACTACCTTCAGATTCTATTGAAGAGAATTGGACTAATTAGCTAATTAACCCTTTAAGCGCCAAAGTCGCAATATTGCGACAAGCAACATTGCTCACTTAAACAGGCTGTATGTAAAAATGTGGTGCAGAATCTTGTTAATACTTTTCACCAGGGGTTAGTGGACATGTGTGCCTGTAATATGAGCAACATTTGTGGGTGTGGTTATATTGAAAGTTTTTGAGTAAATTGAGTTGGTAAAACACCTGCGGCGCAGCGGTGCGGAGGCGAAGCAGCAGCGGTAGAGCTGAGAGGAGCGAGAGCAGAGCAGAGGGAGAGAGTGTTTTTTATTTTACTCACGAGGTCTTCAGTACCAGAGAAGTACTTGGTTTGGTACTGGCTCACTCAGATTCAGAGGAGGAAGACACACAGGTGTCCAGTGAAGCAGACACGGACATTATTGGTGACGGGGAGACCGCGCTCCATAGTCCACTATCAGCCCCAGTACAGCGGCTGCTTGTCCTCCGTGTGGCCGCGGTAGAAGCATTCTGTGAACGCCAAGCAGGATCCGTGGTGGAGGGGACAGGGGGATCATAACACCGGGCATGTGGGAGAAAGTAGCGGGGATAGACATCCACGGGGAACACGGGAGACGCGGGAGAAGTCGCGGGAGAGCCGCGGGAAAAAAACACATCGCTAATCGCGTTCACTGCCTTTACCAGCAGCGATGATGAGGATGAAGGCAGTTCTTGAGAGAAAATAATCCACAAAAGTGGATCAGAAGTGTTGAAGAGCCTGTTGTATGTTGTTGAGACGATCTGCCAAGTTCTGAGCCCATTCATTTCATCTCTGTTTCTAAACGGTAAATCCTGGAGGCTCATTTCCACTGAGAAAAATAGTATGCCCACTACTTCTCTGAAAGGGAAATATTGAAACCAATCTCAAGCTTTCATGACTGTAAACTATAAAGAGTGCTGTCTTGATCACTGACGGTCTTTGAAAATAATACAATTCCATATGGCCGCGAACCAGTGCTAAAACATTATCTATAATCTGGATCAGGGAATTTTTTTCTATCCCAAATTCATTTCATACTAAAGATATTTCACATTGACTGTTTATAGTATTCCCTGATCTCAAATAACTCCCAAGCTACAGCTTTTTGAAGTCTTTATACAATAATTAACATTTTCCAAAATGGCCGCCACCTTGATGACGTCACAATATGCAAATTAGATGACGAATCAACTTCCATCCCAAAGTTTGGTTCAAACTGAAGATATTTCTAATTTACAGTATGCCTTTATCTCAAACCATTTTAAAGTTATAGCCTTTTGAAATCTTGAAATCAAAATTGTATATTTTCTTGAAAAAACTCTGGCGCCTAAAGGGTTAAATAATGAAAGGACTCATGAGATTACTTAATCAATAAATGAGCCAATTAATTGATATTGTGACGTCATATGCACGTTATCAGTTGGGAGTTATTCCCTGGTGCCCCTTAATAAAGCTATTATCAATTATTGTATTTATTACATGGTTGTTTTTATCCAATTCTCTGATATCAGGTACATAACTTAAGTTATGTGTGATATCGACATTTTCTCACCCTACATTTTCATGTGTGTGTGGACTGGGTCGTCGAGGTCTCCGCCTTCGACTGCTGCCCAGTCCTCTCTGCACCTCGCCACCACGGACCCCTCTGCAGGTGGTGAGCCCACAGGAGGGACTGCCCACGTCATCCCTTCGGGCTGAGCCCGGCCGGGCCCCGTGGGCTAAGGCCCGGCCACCAGGCGCTCGCTTGCGAGCCCCGACCCCAGGCCTGGCTCCAGGGTGGGGCTGGTGACCTCGACTGAGGATATTGTCGGGCGGTGGAAGGAATACTTCGAGGTTCTCCTCAATCCCCCCGTCACGTCCCCCGTCCAGGAGGCAGAGGCTGAGGATGTTGGGGCGGATACTTCCATCTCCCTGGCCGAGGTCACCAAGGTGGTTGGCAGCCTCCATGGTGGCAAGGCGCCGGGAGTGGATGAGATCCGTCCTGACTATCTAAAGTCTCTGGATGTTGTAGGACTGTCTTGGCTGACACGTCTCTGCAACATCGCGTGGCGATCGGGGGCGGTGCCAATGGAGTGGCAGACCGGGGTGGTGGTCCCTCTCTACAAGAAGGGGGACCGGAGGGTGTGTTCCAATTATCGTGGGATCACACTCCTCAGCCTCCCCGGTAAGGTCTACTCCAAGGTACTGGAGAGGAGGCTACGTCCGATGGTCGAATCTCGGATTCAGGAGGAGTAGTGTGGTTTTCGTCCCGGTCGCAGAACACTGGACCAGCTCTATACTCTCCATCGGATACTCGAGGGTTCATGGGAGTTCGCCCAACCTGTCAACATGTGCTTTGTGGATCTGGAGAAGGCGTTCGACCGTGTTCCCCGGGGTGTCCTTTGGGGGGTCCTCCGGGAGTACGGGGTCCGGGGTCCTCTGCTGAGGGCTGTTCGGTCCCTGTATGACCGGAGCCAGAGCTGTGTTCGCATTGCCGGCAGTAAGTCAGACCTGTTCCCGGTGAATGTTGGCCTCCGCCAAGGCTGCCCTTTGTCACCGGTTCTGTTCACTGTATTTATGGACAGAATCTCTAGGCGCAGCCAGGGGCCGGAGGGGGTCCGGTTCGGGAACCACAAGATTTCATCTCTACTTTTTGCGGATGATGTCGTCCTGCTGGCTCCAACGAACCAGGACCTGCAGCATGCACTGGGACGGTTTGCAGCCGAGTGCGAAGCGGCTGGGATGAGAATCAGCACCTCCAAATCCGAGGCCATGGTGCTCGACCGGAAAAAGGTGCCTTGCCCTCTCCAGGTGGGTGGAGAGGTCCTTCCTCAAGTGGAGGAGTTCAAGTATCTCGGGGTCTTGTTCACGAGTGAGGGGAGGATGGAGCGTGAGATTGACAGGCGGATCGGTGGAGCGTGCGCAGTGATGCGGTCTCTGTATCGGACCGTTGTGGTAAAGAGGGAGCTGAGCCGAAAGGCAGAGCTCTCAATTTACCGGCCAATCTTCGTTCCCTCCCTCACCTATGGTCGTGAGCTTTGGGTAATGACCGAAAGAACGAGATCGCGGATACAAGCGGTCGAAATGAGCTTCCTCCGCAGAGTGGCTGGGCGCTCCCTTAGAGATAGGGTGAGGAGCTCGGTCACACGGGAGGAGCTCGGAGTAGAGCCGCTGCTTCTCCACGTCGAGAGGAACCAGTTGAGGTGGCTCGGGCATCTGTTCAGGATGCCTCCTGGACGCCTTCCTGGGGAGGTGTTCCGGGCACGTCCCACCGGGAGGAGGCCCCGGGGAAGACCCAGGACACGCTGGAGAGACTATGTCTCTCAGCTGGCCTGGGAACGCCTTGGGGTCCCCCCAGATGAGCTGGAGGAAGTGTGTGTGGATAGGGAAGTCTGGGCGTCTCTGCTTAGACTGCTGCCCCCGCGACCCGGCAACGGATAAAGCGGAAGAAAATGGATGGATGGATGGACATTTTCATGTATCCAAATACATCCTCTGTCCATTGGTAGTTGCTAGAAGAGAACTGTTTTATGCATAAGTAAAGTCTCCTATAGCGGCTTGGTTTATTGTGTTACGGACGTGATGCTTATGTTACATATTTTCAGATGTCCACATTTGATTAGGAGATTCTTTTTTTTACACAGAATAAAAACATCGAGTGATTTAGTGATGTTGTGTTAATGCTAATTTGTGGGAGTTCATCTGCCGCTTTTTCAGACGGAGGACATTTTATGTTCTATGTCACTGGCATCACGGTAGAGTGATCCAATCAGAGGCTGATTTGGTTATTAAAATGTTTGCCAAAGACATAATTGTCAATATATCTCTTTGACATGTCTTGTTTGAAATCTTTTTTTTAATCGATGATAGTCATTTTAGTTTTTGAGTTATAACATTTTAAAGTCCAGGTACTTTAATTGATACTTCACTGTGAACGCACTGTTATAGACGCGCCATGCTAACATGCTAGCTCAGTGTTGCCCAATCTAAATCCCAGCTCAAATCTGGAACAGTCTTGCTAAATATGTGACGCAGACAATCCAGAAAACCATTTTGAATATGCTGTGATTACTTTTGATTGTAATGTTTCTGTCCTTGTTTTGTTTAGCACTTTGAGTAGCCTTGAGTACGAACTGTGTATAAACAAAACCTTTCCCTTGATTGCTTTGCTTGACGACATATCTGTGCTGGGAGGTATTTCTCAAGCACTAATAATAATGTGACTTTGTGGACCTGCTTGGCTCGTTCTCCCCAAACCCACGGGGGACTTGGGTAAGTTTTTGACTCCAAAGTAAATGGAACTTTTGAGAACATATGGTGCAGCAATTAGCCTCATGTGACTAAACAAAACAAAGGAGCTCTGTTTGATTCTTTTTTAAGTAATTAGCCTTATTCAGTGGTTGTTTTCTTCTGTTTTTTTTCATGTACCAACATTGTCCCCTCATCAAAAACATACCTGGGGTTGTTTTAGCTCCATCCACGCTAACCAGGAACAGGTCTCCCCGCCCCCTCTGTCTAAACGCTCCTGCCTCAATCCCGGTACATTAAAATTAATTATTATTCTTACGCAGTGGGGGCGGGTCCCGGCTCAAAAATGCCCAAAATGACGTGCGCTGGCATACTTGCAATGCCACCCCGGGCCAGACGGGGTCAACCCAGAATAAGAATTAGCCAATGCTAATGTATAGCTGAGGGGAATGTGTTATTTTGGACCAGTCTAGTTTAGTCGCTGTGGAATTTTGAAGGAACTCGAATGAATAGGGCATGTGCAGCTGACGCATCCGCAAATTAGTTTTTTTCACATTCTCCAGCCCCTAAGACGGCGAAAGTGAAGACATTAGTTTCAACCGCGGAGATAAGTGTGACTATGTATGTTTATATTTACAGTCTATGGTCTTACATGCTCAGAGTATTAACGGCTCCAAAAGTACAGGCTAAAAACACAGCCCCATCTCTGGCTGGCTGTGAACATGTTCAAGGACAACCGGACGGAGAGTCCTCACTTCATTCCACTGGTCTCTCCGTGTCCCCGTCTCTCCGTCTCCCCGTCTCTCCGTCTCTCGGCCTCCCCGTCTCTCGGCCTCGGCCTCCCCGCCTCTCCGTCTCCCCGTCTCTCGGCCTCCCCGCCTCTCGGCGTCCCCGCCTCTCCGTCTCCCCGCCTCTCCGTCTCCCCGCCTCTCCGTCTCCCTGTCTCTCGGTCTCCCCGTCTCTGGTGTTTACCGCCTCACATCTCTCACAAAAGCCCCCGCAGCTCTGTCATACACATTATTATTGGTTTAGCGTTGAAGGGAACCCAGCTCTAATCCTCTCAACTCTGCCGGCAACGCAAGACTGTTGATATTTCATGAAGCGAATCCCACCACAGTCAGTTAGAAAGTCAGTTAATAACAATTGTTTAGCACTATTCACACACAGGCAGACTCAAAGTAAGATAAGATAGATACAAGATCACACAAGGCATTAGAGCAGAGAGAAGATACAATCCCTCACTTGTTTGCATCTTAACAGCACCTGGATTTGAACGTTGTCAGAGTAGAAGCCTGTTTCACTTTTTCAGGAAGACTGTTCCTGTTTTAGCTGCATTAATCTGAAATGCTGCCTCCCCATGTTAAGTCCTGACTATAGGCACCAGCAGGAGGCCAGTCCCTGTGCTCCTCAGAGTCCCAGTTGGTTCTTATGGCACTAACATGTCACAGATGTATTTTGGTGCGAGGCCATGAAGAGACTTGAAGCTGCTTCAAAGTTTTTTCTCTGAGCCACAGGAGCCAGTGCAGAGACCTGAGAACTGGACCAATGTGATGGGACTTCCTGGTTCTAGTCAGGACTCGAGCTACAGCGTTTTTCATCCCAGTGAGCAGCCGTTACAGTCTTTTCTAACCAGCCGGAAACTAATGCATGCATAAGAATCTCCCCGTCTGCTGTCGAATCATCTCTGACCGATATTGTAGAAGCCGCGTCACTTGGAGCTAAAATTACCCAAACTCACACAGCAGATACAATGCGAGACGGAGAGGAAGCTATGGATCAAAGGTTTCTCGGCTCAGTTCACCGGCAGTTATTTTTATATTGGACAGATATAGTTCTAATCCACCCGGGTGAAACATTCCACCGTCTCCGCCGTGCGTGTAGCCAGCAGTGTGTTTTTCAGGGTTCGCGGATGCTTCCAGTCGCGGAAATAGATTTGGAATGAGTTGTCACGCAGCAGTTGTCTCGCGGGTGCCAATACTGTTTCCATTTAAAGGTGACACGTACCGACGCTCGTGGAGGAGTTTGTCTAGTGGATCGGAACACGGTTGGAACAAGTTTTGGAGGGAGTGTGTGTGGCTTGTTATCGGCCGTCAGTGTGAACAGGGCTGCGGGTGTCTCCAAGCTGGGGCTGGCTTCTGCTGCAGTAGTCGTTCGTAATATAAGTGAGTAATTAAGTCGTTTATATAGCACATTTTTACAGAGCAATGTCACTGAAGGAGGCGGTTAAAACAAAAGGCTTTGATAAGAATTGATTGAGAAAAGGACACTTAAGTAGTTTCTAAGTGTTCTCATTCAACTGCAGCACTTTTGGTTAATCTTTTTTATTGAGAATTTTCAGAATAAATCAAAAATAAAGGCATCAAAAGTATGGAACAAACTTGCATTCACATCAAAAATGTAAATAAAACAATCAAAATATATATGTATTTACGTATGAAGAGGGTACCCTAAGACAAAAATGTATTTCAAACAAAAAAACACCACACGTCTGCGTCCACACAGACAGGACTTAGTTGTTTACGTCTTTGCATATAGTTTGTCTGAGGAATCGGGAACTAGTTTATGTAGTTAGTCTGAGACTGCTGTTGTGATTTACGGCTGTACATCTTGTTCTAGTTGCAGTAAAAGTGGGATATGACACTCTGCTTCATACTTTCTCTATAAAAGCATATTTAACATTCTGCATCATGAAATGCCAAAGTAAATAGTTTTGAAGAGCTTAATAATGTCTGATGTCTTCATTGAAAAATGGAAACTCAAGGTTTAAAAATGCCACATTAGTGTTTTTGTCATTTGTTTGTATTTATTAAACACATTGGGACATTCCAAGCAGCGCAGGTCGACCTTGGTCTGATGATAAGCTAATCGAACGGTTGACGCTAGCTGGAAACGTGACATAGTTTAAGGAATTCTTCCGTTAATTAGAAAAAGGTGATTTTTGAAATAGCAGTTGTGGAGTTTCTGTAAAGAGTAAATCAGCTGAGCTGCCCTACAGTCAAAGTGTGGGTTATTGATTTAGTATGTGCCCTATGTGCACGTTTACAAGGTAACAAGCAGTCAAACTGACTGCTGCGGTGCTCCCTGAGCCTCTCTGCCCCGAGGAGAAAATCACTGTATGTTCAACAGACAGCAGGAACAGACACAGTCTCAGGTGATTAACAAATGCTCATAGTTTAAAATGGCTAAACTTACGCTTTTTATAACAAAAGGACTCCCAGAATTATGAAACTACCAGAACTCATATAGCTGTGTTTTTGACTGCTCTCATTCAAACCAATGGGACTTTTTGACAGATTTATTAAAGTAATGTATATGTAATTTTTTGTTTTGTTGTTACCTTTACTCAATTTGACAAAGTGTGAAAACTGGGGAATATACAAACTGTTGGCCTTGTGTTGCTATGGTATGGTGTGTGTGTGTGTGTGTGTGGCTGGTGGTGGTCGGAGGGGCCGATGGCACGATACATCGCTTCTGTCAGTGTGCCCCAGGGCAGCTGTGGCTACAGTAGTAGTTTATCACAACCGTGTACGGAGTGAATGAATAATTAAATAAAAGTATACTGTATATATAAAAACAATGCATTATTATTCTTATCCACAGCTCTGACTCGCATTCTTCCAATGAACCAGAGCAGAATATGAAAAAGTGTTTTATCTCCCCATTGTCCCTGCCTCAAAGACACTGTATATTTAAAGCTCTTTATGACAGCTCCACTTCCTTATGACTGATGACTTATTTTGAAAGCGACCTATCAAAACTGTTCCGATAACGCCACTCTCATAACCCACTGTCCTATTTCCCGCCTCGCCTCTATCTGCGAGCTGCTTTTACTTTTTATATCCCCTCTGAAATTGCTTCTACTCACGCGTAACGCCACACGGTGAATTTTATGACTGTAAATGTCACAATGTGGCTCGACCAGCTGACAAAATGCCGCCTTCTTGGCAACGCCTCATCACAACTCCAAAAACCTGAGCACCGACATATTCCTCATATTATTCCAACGCTGCGTTCCAATTTGACGCGTCTACTTAGGACTAGCTTGAGCATGCGTGCGCGTTCTCTCATCCATTTAACTCAATTTGCTGCTCTTACCAGGCCTGAGAAATGCAATACGCCGGCAGAGGTTGAGAAAAAGGCAAAGAAATCCACTCTTCAACAAGCACCGAGACAGCTTTATAGCCCGGGGAGACCCTTGAGAAGTCCCTTGAGTTTCCTTTGGCCAGATTCTGAAACGTCTCCAGCTCATAATTGCCGAGTTCATTGTTTGACCAGTTAAGAATAGGTCGAATTATCCGCAATTATGGCCGATGCAGCTTGTGTTTGCTTTCCCCGTCAGAGAAGGGACAGGACAGATCCCTTTTGTGAACATTTGGCTGAGTCTTAATCACTTATCCGTCTTGCAAATACTGGGGCGGGAGTAGAAAAGAGTGTAATGCCACATAGACTCTGTAATTAAAAAGAAATGACGGGCGGGGGCTTTGAAAGTCTATTTGTGGAAAAGGAAGTCGGCTCTAATAGAGTTGTTCCCAGCAGTGAAACAGAAAACCTGTGTAGGAAGCGATTTTTGGTGTTTTTTGCAGGATTGCACAAATAGTCAAAATGTTTAGATGTTGTCAGAAAGATAGCTGTTTTTATATAAATGTCAAATGCTCTGCCATTTATGTAATCTTTGTGTGGAGAAGTTATGGAGTTAAATGTTGTGGGATGTGAGCCACAGAGAAGTAGGTTAACACTGCAATATGAACACTCAGTCACTTTTAATGTAATGTGCTAATTGGATTTCTTAAAAAGGAGAAAACGTTGTAAATTCCAATTCTGAGGTGCGTAAGAGGAACCCCTTCAGCTCACAAACATTTAAAAGAACAGAAATCCCTCACACACATACATCCAGTTGCATGCATCCGGATAAACGTCCTCTCGCCTGGGAAAAGGAAAACCAATGGAAACTCACAGAACAGAGAGAGACGGACAACGATGACTCACTCTTCCACAGATTGAAGCTTTATAGTTTCATTTTGTGATGATTAGATAAAGTTATTTGGTTATTCTTTACCAGACACTCTCAGATAAATTTGAAATTTTATTTGTATTTATTTATTTGACAGGGAAAATGTAGTCATACATAGTTACATTATGAAAATGCAGCTGATGCGACACATACAGAGTGTATAGCTAGTGCTAATTTTCAACTCCTGTCCCTGGAGTTGAAAACATTTGCACTATTCAATTTTCCATCTAAATAACTATGAATTCATCAATGTATTTAAAGTATATTCATGGGGTGAAAGTCTACAACTTTGGGCTTCTTTCTTACTCTCTGGTGTCTCTCTCTAGTCTCTCTGTGGTCTCTCTCTGGTCTTTTTCTAGTCTCTCTTTGGTCTCTTTCTCTGGTCTCTTTCTGTGGTCCATTTCTGGTCTCTCTCTGGTCTCTCTCTCTCTGGTCTCTCTCTGGTCTCTCTCTCTGGTCTCTCTCTCTCTCTCTCTGGTCTCTCTATTATAAAAATGCAACTTAAATCAACCACAGAAATAAACAAAATAAACAGATTTTCACATGATTTTTTGGGCCATGTCAGTGGGAGGCCTTGGTCTCTAACATATTGATCGTGCTGATAAAAAAAAAATCAAATATAAAACTTTCTTCTTTCTCACACTGCCCCTCAGCACGTCAGGCCCACACCTGGCTCAAACTCGTTCCAGAAGTGGGTCAACTCCTACTGTTTCTATGGAAATGCAGTCAGCCCAGAGAACATTGCATATATACAGTTTCAACTTCCCTCGATTATGTGAGTGACATAAGGAGAGTGTGTCACCGGAGAAAGAGGAGGTTAAAGAGTTTAGATAGTAGTAATAGTAAGTAATCTTTATTTATTTACATACCGCCTTTTCACTGCACATCGGAGTCTCAAAGCGGTTTACAATTGTTATTTTTTGGAGTGGGGGTGCCAGTACAGGAGGCACATGCCAGACCTATTGTACATATTTTTAGTGGTAGGGGAAACCGGAGCACCCGGAGGAAACCTACGCAGACACGGGGAGAACATGCAAACTCCAC